TATAGATACCTATAGATACCTATAGCTGATCCATACCGCCTGCAGATGCCACCCAGCCGTAGGGACCGGGTTTTTTGGAGCCGATTTTTCCCCTCTCCGCTGTCCCGGGGTGGCCGATCCCTCTCCCAGAGTCTGTAACTCTCAGATTCTCCCCAGCCCCCTCCTCCAGACCCTTCCCGGCTGAAGGAATAAATAAAAGAATTAACGTAGTACTAATAAAAACTCGAAATAATCCCAAATGCCCAATAAGCAGCAGCCGACCCCATTTATCCATTTTGCTCTGCTAGAATCACATTTCCCCGCTGCTTTTCCCCCTATTTTTAACCACTTTTCTTAATGATTGTTTTAAAAATTCAACTCTTAGCACAGAAAAAAATTTAAATTCAAATTTTCCCCTCTTCCCCTCCAGCCCCCGCCCCCTTCAATTCCTAAAGTTTTTTTTTTGTTTGTTTGGTTTTTTTTTTCGCTGTTTGGAGGGGAAATTTTGGGTTTTTTCTCCCATGCATCAACAGCGGGACCTTTAACTCTAAAACCACCACGGAACTAAGTTCGATACGGGGAAATAAATAAAGCAAAACAAAAAGAAACCCTAAAAAATAGGCATCGTATAGAATTTTTCCTGCCCGGGGCAGAAGTGGAGGCTGGAAAGGAGAGGAACAAGGCCAGTTTGCTCCCCTGGGATATTTTCACGCAGATTTCGTTAATCGCAAGGTAAAAAAGAAAAAGCTCCACCGCGTGCAGAACAAAGTTTTCGGTTTGGTTTAGGGGTTTTTGTTTTTTGTCGCTGTGCTTTGCTGTGTCCCATCTGCTTTCTCCGGGAGAAATTGTGTCCTAAATCCTGTCGGATCACGCCAGGCTGGGCTCGGTGCAGTTCGTCGCTCCCCGAATTTCGGGATGAGCGTTCCCGCGATTCCCGGCTCCGCAGACCGATAATTCCCCCCAAAAAAGAAAGAGGCTGGATCCGGCCACACGCTCGCGAAACAATCCACGGGAATTGCTTTTGTACCTTTTTTCCTGCAAACAGCAAAGCCAAAACAGGTCCTTGAAATCTTCTCCTCTGCTTCTGGTATTGCTGCTTTGCTGGTTGGGGGCGTTTAATCAGTTTAAATTGCATTTTCGATTTTTGTGACTTTTTAGTTGTTTTTTTTTTTCTTTTTAGTAAGGAAAGAGCTGCTTTTCTGTTGGAATTCAACGAATCTTTAGGAAATCTCTGCTTTGGGAGAGTAAAACTGTCAGGGATTTTGCAAAGGAAGGAAAGATGAGTGTCCCGAACCTGGCACATCTGGATAGGCAGCTGCGTCGGAGAACGGATATCAAAAGAGATATCAATATATTTAATTCTCTTTTCTTTCCCTGCTAGTGTTCATAAGCGTATTTTTATATATACCTGTATTCATACATATTTTAATTATGTATTTACATAATTAAAACACGCGTTTACATGTCTATATATTATATGTGAATTATTAAACATAAGAGTTCATACGTTATATGTCTATTTTCAATATATTTAATAATTTACATATATACAAAAACAATACCATAGAGCGTTATAAATTATAAGCAATAAATTATTTCGGTAAGACAGTACATCTATGTTCACATGTAACACACATTCCTGTGAATTATAACATATATTGTCCCGTTTATACTTAATTTTTCTATCGATCTGTATAAAATCACACACCTTTTATTAATTATATGTTTTCCCCCGTGGGCTGAAATTACAAATATACACAGAGACACCGTTACTGATGTATTTCTGTGCCTATAATTTTATTTCTATACGGGACTATAAATATTTTATCCCGATATTTGGGTTATCTCCAACTGCGTTTTCCCACTTTTGGGGATTTGGGGAGCCTCCGTGCCCCGTGGGTATTGCAGAATAACGCGAGGGCAGAGGATGAAGGGATCCCACATCCCCGAGGTTTCATTCCCAACCCTGAAGCACCCTCCAAACGCTCTCCTCACCCTTCAATAAATCGATTTCCCCATCTTCTCTTCCCCCATACCCCGTGTCTTTCATACGGAGATTTGAAATTTTAATTCAATATTTTTATTTCCAAGAACCAAAATCCACCGACATCTCCCCCCCGCTTCCCCCACAGACTCAGGGTAGGAACCCCAAATTTCCACTGGAAGCTCCAAAGTGTGGGAAATGTAAATGTTGTGAGAATTATTCCCGGGAAACGGGGCAATGGGACCCTCGGGATGTCTGCAGAGACTCCAGGGCGAAAGGAGCCCCTGGGGAAGGGAGGCTGTGTATGTGGGGCTGAACCCCACATGGGACTGGGACCCCAAACTGCAGAGGGGTGTAGCAGCCCCGCTGCTCTTCATCATTAACCTTAAACCCATCAGAGCATGGAGGGGCAGGAATGGGGTGCCCAGTTTGGGGGGGAGCACCCCAAAACTGTCTGGGACAGAGAGGAGAGCAGCTGGCACCACCTCACTCTACAATTTGGCATCGCGATTTGGGGCAGAAGCACAGGAAAATCTCCCTTGTGCAATATCGCCAGTGAAAGGGGATTGACTCCAGCGGGATTGGGGAGTCTGTACCCCTCAGAAAATTCCCGATTTTTTCTGTGAATCAGGCACTAGCATCCCTGGGGACGCGAGGCTGCCCAGCTGCTGAGGCCATGCCCATAGGGCTGGTTTGATTTTATTATTTCATTTTATTCCTTTTTTATTGTTTTTTTCCCCCATCTCCTCCGCAGCCACGAAACCTGGCGCCCGGCTGATGGTGCAACAGATACCGGCCACCCCCTTCACCCCCTCGCTCCCTCCCATCGCCGCCCACTTCCACGTGACGTGGGAAAACCAGTCAGCGAGTGGCACTGGGCAGCCTGGCCATACTGGGGAGCCTGCAGGGGGGCAGCGCTGCCCCCAGTCCCCCCACAGAAACAGGAGCCGGGCATCTCTGAGCCCTCTGCCTGCCCCACAGCCAGGGGAGGGGGTTCCTGCCCCACGGCCTCGCCCCCTCCACCCCTGTGCCCCCCAGCACTGAAGGTGGGTAGCGCTTCCGTCCCCTCCTCGCTCCTCTTCCTCGCTGTCACGCCGGGACCCCGGCGAGCTCCCCGATATCTTCCTCCTATTTTCTCCTCGGGCTTGGGAAGTGACTCGATTTTGCTATTTTTTTTTTTTATTAATTTTTTTATTATCACCACTACTGTTTGTAAACTTGCTCCTTGTTCCCCTCCTGTGAATCCAGCTCCTCCTTAGGGAATCCTGTGGAAAAGCTCCATCCTAGGCTGGTTACACGCCAACCATTCCCTGGGCGTCAGGGGGACACAAATCTCCCTTAAAGCCCCTTTTTCCCGGCTCGATTCCATCCTTACCCCTTCCCAGCGCTGCCTCCGGCTCCTCTCCCTTTCCTCGGCCGCCTGCCCGTCTCCCGCTGTCCTCCCAGGGTATCAGCCCTTATCTGCTGGTTATCTCCTCTGCTGCTAAATTCAGCCCAGCGGAGGGGTTCAGCCGGGGGAATCTGTTGGTTAAAACTAAAGCAGTCCCAGGAGCCAACTCTCCGGCCATAATTCTGCCCCCTCCGTGCCCCATCCAGCTCTTCTCTCGGTGTGAGGTGGTTTTCATGGAATCCCACAATTCCAGAATGGTTTGGGTTACAAAATACCTAAAGGCTCATCCAGTTCCGACCCCCCTGTCCTGGGCAGGGATATTTTCCACAAGACTGGGTTGTTCCAAGCCCTGTCCAAGAGGCTCCCTCCATGATTTGTAGAGAATTTCACATCTCAACTCATCTCACCCCCCCTCCTGGACCCTCCTTGGGGAAGGGGTTTCACCCTGACTCCTTTCCACAAGTGGATTTTGGGGTCTTGCTATTTCAAGCCAAGCCCAAGGCCCCAGTGGCACCCCAAGGCCCAAATCCACTCCAAATTCCCCCAAATTTCCCCAAAATTCGAAACCAACCCAACAAGAGGTAAAGCACCCCTTTCTCCCACACCGTCCCAGGACTCTGGGACGTTCCTCCCCACCCAGACCCACAGCATTCTCAATCCCCATTGGGTCACCCCACTGTGCTTCCAGCTTCTCCCAGTTCCCCACACAGGAAAAACGGGGGAGAGGGATAGAAAACACCAGGAAAAGGGAGTTGGGGTCTGCTCCCCACTTTGGGGCTACAACGGGTAATGTCCCCCCCTCTCCTTTAAGTCCCCTCGGTCACGCCTGGCCGGGCTTTAGGGGGTGCGGACACGTGTGGGGCAGCCGAGGGGTGAGAGGGTCGATCCATCCTTCCCCCTTTCCCTCTTTCCCCCCTATTTTTCCCTAATTTAACCCCCCACACCCCCCAGCCCTCCCGCCGCCCACATCAAACGCCGGCCCCGGGGGCCATTAACAACTTAAAGCACCGATCGTACCTGCGGGACAAAGGTTTTTGCTGCGGGCCAGAGGAGAGAGCATCGCTGTCTCTCACCTTCCCGCCCGTGTCCCCCTTCCTTTCACCTCCCCCCCTTCTCTAACCTCCTTATCTCCCCGCCCGGGGGGGTCCCGGCCCGGCCGCCGCCGCATCCCGCATCCCGCATCCCGGCAGCATCTCCCCCTGCTCCCCCGGGGGTGTTGGAAGGGGAGGGCGGGAGGGGAGGGAGGAGGAGACTGAGCGAGGGTTTTAAACAGCCCGGCCTGATGGTGGAGGGCGGGGGGGTGGGGGGGCGGGAGGTGATGGATGGAGCCCGCTGGGAGCAGCTAAATCCAGGCGGGAGCTAAATTTCCCCTCCGGAGGGACCCGGACTTCTTGCTCGGGGTCTGCAAGAGGCGGCGGGACCTGCTGAAGGTGGGGAAGGTGGGCGGTGGGGAAGAGAGAGGTGGGGAGGGGGGGGGTCGGAGGAGGAAAAAAAATCGCATCGCTTGGTGGTGTTTTGGTTTTGGCTGGAAGGCTTGCGCGCCCACGCGGGACCGCTCCGGGGGAAAAAAAAAGTGGAGCCGAGGGTTTTCCAGGCGCTCCCCATCGCTCTGGATCGCGGCTGGGCTTTGGGGAGGCCCCGCACGAGATGTACCAGAGCTTAGCCATGGCAGCCAACCCCGGGCCTCCGGCGTACGAGGGGGCAGGTGGCTTCATGCACAGCGCGGCCGCAGCGTCCCCCGTCTATGTGCCCACCACGAGGGTCACCTCCATGCTCCCCAGCCTGCCCTACCTGCAGAGCAGCGCCTCTTCCCAGCAAGGCAGCCCCGTCCACTCCAGCCACTCCATCTGGACTCAACCCGGAGCAGAAAGCGCCGCTTACAACCCTGGATCTTCTCACCCTCCCGTGTCACCTCGGTTCTCCTTCTCCACCAGCACCCCCATCCCGGCCACCTCTTCCCGGGAAGCGGCGGCGGCTTACAGCAGCTCCTTGAACCTTTCTGCTAACGGGAGGGAGCAGTACGGCAGGGGCTTCGGCAGCTCCTATTCCAGCCCCTACCCGGCCTACATGAGCCCCGACATGGCCACGACCTGGACTTCGTCGCCCTTTGACAGCCCCATGCTGCACAACCTGCAGAGCCGAGGGACGCCCGCGGCCGCCCGCCACGCTAATATCGGTGAGCACGGGGCTGGGAGATGGGAGGGGAGGTTTCACCCCGTTACCCCCCCAGATTTTGGGGCACGCACCCCTCTGTGAGTAGGTTTTGGTTTTTGGAGGGAGGAATTCGGAATATTTGGGGTTGTCGCTATCTGAGTGGCCTCTCTGTCTGGAAAACATTGGGGTCCTTATTCTTAATTATTCTGCAAAATCACTGCTCCAAAACATCCTCAAAGTTTCTAAAAAGTAAACGAAATTTAGGGCAGGCCCGGAGCGGCAAGGAGTGATGGGGCGAGCTCTGGAGCGAGGGCCTGCAGGCTCCTCGAATAGCTCAGAGGGGATTTAGGGGCTCTGATGGGGATAATTTGAATTACCCCCACGATGTTCCACGGACACGTAGGCAGCCCCTTCCTGAGCGGGCTTTAGGTGTTAAACTGGGAGCATTGAGAAAGCAAAGTTGGGTCCATGAATTCCAAATCTTCCCTTCGGGCTGTTTTACGTTCTGGTATTTTAAAAAAATTCATTTGGAAAGGTCGGGCTACAAAAAGGGAGAGCAAAGAGAAATTTAGAGCTGAGGTGGGAGAGATGATGGAGAAGGATTATAAGAAATGCATCCACATTTATAATGGTGCTTTTCGGGGAACTCGGGCACATCTGAACAACGAAACCCTGGTATTTCAGAGTCTCTTTACCCCAAAAATCCTCACCCTGATCTCTCGTGCCGAGTCCAGTCTCGGAGCCTTTAATTTCATTAAATTCCTCTGGTTCCTGCAACGAAGAATTGGTCCAAATGGCTTAAAATACTGCTTTTATATTTCGTGAGGTGGAAGAGGGATAAAAGGAGAAAGAAATGCAGGCACATCTTTGCATGGTGGTTTCATAAACCCTTTTTTCCTTCCCGCCTCCTCTCCATGAAGGTATTTCTGTCGGCTTTGGGGTCGGGGTTAACAAAGAAAATACCTCAAATTTGTCTGCAGATCTATTTTACGATTGCGTTCTCTGACCTGAATTTTGGAGGGCAATTTTTCCATCGTGTCCAGCGGGATTTGCGTTGTCTTTAGCATTATTTTAAGTTGTTAAAAGAAGGAAAGTTGGGCATCGGTGAAGGCTTGACCTTGCCAACATCTTGTGCTTTTCTTTAGGTGCTAGAAAATTTCTCAAAACGAGGAACAGAATAAGGACAAAATTTTAGCCAATCAGACGATTTTTTTTGGAAGCCGTGAGAAGGCAGATCGCAGAGGAAAAAAATTAGGATTCATTAAAAAATCAAGTATTAATTGAATATCAGTAAGCACATATGAATATTTGTATTTTACCATGGTGCCATCTCTTCCTTGGGGGGAGGAAAATAATCACCTTTTTTTGCGGTGATTTCAGAAGGGCTCTTAATAATAAAAATACCCTAAACCCAAAATAATGCAAATGAAGAATTGCAGTTGCAGAAACACCCATCAGCTTTTAAAGCGCAAGGGGATTTGGGGGTTTTGAGCGTGGTGGTTTGTGCTGCAGCTCCGCATTTTCATGGCAAAAAAACCTGAGTTTTAAATAGCACTGGGAAGAAGGGATGAGTTGAGCCAGTGCAGAAAATGGTTTTTAATGAAAAGGAAAGAGCCGGGACTGTCTCGGGTGCCGGATTCTCGGCAGCGCGGCCGAACCCGTGAGATTCATTAGCATGGGGCTAATTACGCCTTTGCCTTGGATATGGGAAAGCGTTCGAATTTTAAAGCAGAAGCGCTTCAGTTTTGGTTAAAAAAACCCCAAACAAACAAAACCAAAACCAAATAAAATAAAATACTGCCTGAGAGCTGGTAAGTTTTAAATGGATTTTTGGCAGGCAGCTCCTCCGGGAAGCAGTTTTAGGTCCAGCCCTGCCCCGTTCCCACTTCTCCCTCCCTGAGTCGGGACGCGGCCGCTGCCGGGTCCCTCCCTGAAGCCGAGCGATGCTTTGGGCATCGAGGGGGTTGAGTAAAGCATGTAGAGGCTGGCTCTGAGGTTCTGAGCTGGGAAACGGTTTTATTTTCATGATTTTAAGGGTAAAAACCTGGAAAACTGAAGGCATTGAAAGATGTAGTGGGGAAGACACCGCTGTGGATTATTCCCATCACAGACCCACTTTAATTCCACATCCGAGCCTGGTCAGCACCTAAGAAATCCCTGGAACGGTGGAGTTGACTCCTTCTTTGCCTTTTCTTAGGGCTAAAAGTAATTTTAATATCTGCACAGCGAGGAATCTCAAGGTGGAAAAGCAATCCTTTTAAATGTGTGAAATATAAATATTTTCAGCGCTCTCATTTTCTTTTCCGGAGAAATACACACCACCTTCAAGCAGCGCTAAATGCAGAGCACCCCTGGGGTCATTAAAATTTTAATTACTACTATTTTTTAAAAATAAAGATCAAGTATAGGCAGCTATAGCTGAATGTGCAGACAGGAATTCCCTGTCTATATAATTGGGCATGACGTTTTCCTCCCTGTTTTATATAAACATATCCCTGTAACAATAAAGCAACACACAGGGAAAAGAAGATTAGTGAAAATGTATTGGAAGAAAATAACACTAAAAGAAATATAAATCTTCTTGGTTTTCCCTAAATTGAGGAATTTTTGCCTGGGTTAAACCGTGGTATGAAGCACTGGGAAGGATGGGTAAAACGCACGGGCCCGTTTGGAAAGCTTTCCCTGGTGTGAGTTCAAAATGCCAAATTTGGGCTTTTCAGGGTAAGTTTGGTGACTGATTTCATTACCCTGAAGAGCAGGATCAGACCCTGTAGTCGAGGCAGTGAACTTGCCCCAGGCATTGCCTGGGATGGAGTTACTGCGAATTCCCGACTTAATGAGCCATGAAAAGGACCAGCTGCAGAATCCCCTCTCAAAAGACTTCCCCGCCAACACCAAAAATCTTTTGAAATCGCTCCCAAAATTACCCTAGATGGGCACTTTTGCTCTTGCCCCTTCCTCGGGCGGAAGGGAGCGGGGATGGAGGGCGGCACAGAGCTCCGAGCGCATCCACCCCGCAGCTCCTCGCTGCCTCCTGGATCTTTCCAGCCTGGGGAAGGACGCTCTGATCCCAGATTGTTCTGATCCCAAATTCATTTTGCTCACAGTGTGGATTTTACTTTCGCTGTGGCATAGCGGAGGTATTGCTGTGGTTGGGGATAAATCGGGGCTGTGGGCATTTCTGGTGGGTGCTTTTTGGGTTTTTGGGGGGTTTTTTTTGGCCAAATCGATGTCAAGGCTCCTGAAACAGGCGCTGCTGGAACACAGCAGCAGCATCTGGGAAGATCAAAGCCTGGAGCAGACACTGGCTTGGAAAATGTCCTTTCTGCTGCTGGTGGGGGAGAGATTGGGAACCAGATCTTAAGCTTTCCCACAGGGTTGCTAAAAGATCGGCCCTGTCGCATCCCGGGGCTGTCATTTCCAGTGATTCATTGGCATTTGTTACAGCCCTCTGCCCCTACAAGCAGCCCCTGACCTTCCCCACACACCCAGGGACAAGGTGCCTGGTCCCTGTGGGGTGGCAGGGGATGAGAGGGGAGTCCCAGCATCGTTCTGTCCCTGATCCTGGAGGGATGGGACCTTAGGATGCTGGGATGGGGCCATAGGACAGAGGGATGTGAGTGTAGGATGGCAGAAAAATATGTGGGACAGCGGGAAGGGGTTGTAGGACACTGGGAAAGGGTTGTAAGACATTGGGAAGGGGCTGTAGGACATCGGGAAGGGGTTGTAGGACATCGGGATGGGGCTGTAGGATATCGGGATGGGGCTGTAGTATATCGGGAAGGGGCTGTAGGACATCGGGATGGGGCTGTAGGACACGGGGATAGGGCTATAGGATATCGGATGGGGCTGTAGTATATCGGGAAGGGGCTGTAGGACATCGGGATGGGGCTGTAGGACATCGGGATGGGGCTGTTGGACGTGTTTGCCTTTTCCTCCATCCCCCGTTTCGCAAGCGGCCGCATTTCTCACCCCAGCCCCGCCGGTGGGGAAGGTTCGTCCAGGGCTTTGTTCCCCCCTCTGGGTCTGAATCCACCTTCTGCTCTCCATCCTAATTTAATTGTCACCTGTCAGTCTGGGATTTGGGATGAAACCCACAGAATGAGGGTTTCTAGTCTCTGAGCAAGATCAAGCTTGAGCATCCAAATGTTTATTCCCCCCTGCAAGCCCCTCAAGCAGTAGAATTTAAATTTCAAATAAATCAGTGATAATAATAAAAATAACACCATCACCGGCACTTTGTCACCCCTATTAATAATTCAATTTTTTACTTAAAAATTGCACTGTATTACCAAGTGCAGCTTATTTTGCACAGAACAGCCATGGGGCAGTATATAATATAAAAGTTCACAAATTTTTGTAGAGCAGTAAAAGTTAAGGCAGTGGATGGTGGTACTTAATCTAAGATTTTATTAAACCAGTATTAATTATTTTTTACCCATCCATGTGCATTTCTTTGTCCCTGTAACAATAACAGCAATATTTATTTTTTTAAGAGACAACTTATAGTTTGATCTCTCCATATTTTTTTGCCAGAAATTTTAATGGAAAGAAGCGAAATTCTTGGAAACAGATGAGGGTTTATCAGGCAGAGTATTCCAAAGGAAACCAGGCCCAATCCTGACACCTCTGTGCTCTTCTGATGATGGGAAACCCTTGGCTTGGCTGGCAGAAAGGGGCTCCCCAAAACTGGTTCTGCCAAATGCGGAGGGGTATTTTGAAAGGGCGAACCATTTCTCTCTGAAAATTTAATGATGTGTGGAAAAAACCACCAAAGTGCCAAATATCAAATAAAATTCCAAACTGGGTGAAGAAGTGGCTTTTTATGTGCCTGAAGGTTGGCAGCCTGTTGTTTCTGAGGGAGTATATTAAAATAAAGGTGCAATTTCAAAGAAAATTCAATTTAAAAAAATTGATTGTGTTGTCCTAAAACCTTCAGAAATTTTGTTTCTCATCAGTGCAGGGCTCTGGGCTGAAATTTTTGCTCCTTGAGCCCTGCAGAGCTTTGCAAGCATTCGGAAA